AGCAGAACGCCTCATCTTTCTCCCGCGGAACCGCTGGTAGTTTCGAACCGCTGACTTGAGGTTAGCAGCCTGACTCATAACCATACAGTGTAAAAGAGAAAAATGACCAAAACTCAAAATCATAAAAACAGCAGGCTTACTAGTCTGATGGAGTCCTGGTGTGGCGATGTGGGCTACTGCATTAGGCTGCAAAGTTGGTTTAAACCGCAAGGTCCAAAGTTCAAGCTCTGCAGCCATTCCTCAGATACCCTAGACAGGGTCTCTATGGGTAGAAACTGACTCGATGGCACTTAACAACAAAACTAGTCTGATAGACTGGTAGAACCCCTGAGACTATGGCCTTTCGTCATCCATCAAGCCTGGAACAGAATGCACCTCACAGGTACATACTCTTGAGAACAAGTGATCATACAAGATCAAAAAAGCAGCATCTGCCCACAGAGAAAGCTCAGAAGGCAGGATAGAAGAGGAAGATGAATGGAAATGGTGAACATAGAAAGGAAACGGGTAGAGTGTTGTTGCACTGTGGGGATTGCAAGTAATAACGTCCTGACACAAAATGTGTGTGAATACAAAAAGTTCATAGTAAAAGCTTGGTAAACTTCTACTCAAAGAAAAGAAATACTGAAAGGCTGTTGGTTGAAACCCACCAGTAGCTCTATGGGAGAAACATGTGGCAGTCTTCGTCCATACAGAAGAAGCCTCAACAAGCCTCTAGGGCAATTCTACTCCGTGCTATAGGGTGGCTATGAGTCGGAATCAGCTCAACAGCAATGTTTGGGTTTTTTATACATGATCAAAGCTGAGGACCTATACCCTGGTTACTCAGGGATTCCCAAAATCACCTGGAAGCTTGTTAAAAATTCAGGCTCTCTGGCCTCTCTCAGAACTACTGACAAGAATCACAATTTAACAATATCCCCAGTGGACTGACACACCTATTAATGAAGAAGCACCAAGCAAGACATTAGATGAATCAAAGAGAAACCTGATGAGAACACTAGCCAAAATGAAGATCACCTAAACTCTAATCAAGCTAAACAGAACCAACCAGCTTTCACTACATACCCATCTTCATAGTTCCACATGAAGATATCACTGTCAATCGTGAGCCACGCTCTGCTGATTGGAGGGAACACGCCCATCATGCAGTTGCACTGCATATCTGAGGTAGTGTGGATGTAAGGTAGAAAGATTTCAATCTCATCTCTCTTAAACTTGTTTAAAAAACTTTCGATTGAAAATTAATGATTAAAAAATCATATTTTATCCACTCTTTAACATAAATAGCAAATGAGATATCTCCATTTCCAATTAGGTAATGAAAGTCATAATGTACGACAGAAATACAATATTAAACTTTCTATGTAATGCTAGGCATTTAAAACATATTTTTTAAATCATTGTAAAGATACACACAACATATTTGCCAAACCATTTTGTTTTGCATTAGTGTAAATGAATGACACCAACTACATTAATCTAGCTGTGTAACCAGCAACATTGATTAAAATGTATTTCGAAAGACAAAAGTAATACTCTTAACATTCCCAATAGCAAAAAAATAGCAATTATGAATAACACCACTCTTATCCACTCTGTGTTGACATCCTAATTCGTTACTTTTAACACATATTGGTATACGTTTAAGTCTCAGATTAAGCTTTTGGTAAGATAAACATTCGAATCTATTTCTAATGAGCGCTATAAATTGATTTAAATGCTTTCTAGTAAATAACTGTTAAGACTGGGCCTTTCATAGCATTTGCAAATAAAATCTTTATTTTTAGAGGATCAGAAAACTCCTTTAGCTAGTCTACAAAGGATGCCACTAAGTACCTGAGTTCCTCAGACCTTTAGATATAGTCTTATTATGATCCTTAAAAATTCAATCACTTCTAAACTCCCTCAATTGAGAGGCAATGTTAGGTGTAAAAGTACACTAACAACTTCTTTTTAGGAGTAAAGAGAAATAGCTGGCCATTTTTTTTTTAATGTTTGAACATTCTGAACTATATTTCAGCTGCAAAATGTTAAAACATGAGAACAAAAACATGGTCTATACATTGAAAAACTGTGGTAGTAAAAATATCTTGATAGAACTTGGTTGGAAAGTTACGCTTTATAACAAATCACTCAAAGAGGCATAATTTTAAACAATTACATTTCATAAACATACCCAAACAATTAAAATGTGATTCATTTTCCAAAGTTAAATTTTATTAAAAAATTTCTAGGCTCACTGTAAACTACCCACGTACTTGAATGTATTTTAAATAAAACTTTTATATTGAACTTACATACATATAAACACAAAGCAATGACAAGAATGAGAACGTGAATTTCAACATTTTCTAAGCAGAGAACAGCTACAGAGTAAAAAACTATGCCTTTTTGTTAGTTATTTCTCTTCCGTACTATTACTTTAATTTCATTAGATAAACGCTCTTTAGTCAAGTGGCATAAGAGAAAACACAAATAATACCAAAAAAGCAGTATTTCACTGGGGAACAAATCACAGCTCTATATAAACTGTTCTTACTGGGTCATCTTTCTCTTGCCCAGTTAAATATAAAGTAATAGGATACGTCCAAACTGTTCAACAAGTTCAGGTGGGAGAGGAACTCTTCGGATGGAACTGATCTCTGGAAGGTTCGGTACTGAAAGCAAACCAGGTCCTTGTAAAGGATAATCCATATCTGACATTCCAGAAACCGTGGGATTATCTAAAAAAATAAAATGAAGCACTTATTAAAAGAATAAAGTCTTACTTTATGGAAATTGGGCATATAGAAAAGCATTACAAGTTATAAAAAACTGCATCTAGTGGCTCTAAAGATAAACAGAAACAGTAGTCCTGGTCTTGCAATCAGCGATCCTAAGATGTTCCATTCTTATGGTGTAGCCGTTACTGATTTCAGCCATGAATGGAAGATTACCTTTCACAAAGTTATCTCATATGAAAATGTTTAGTCACTCATTTTCTTAGTAATCCAAAATGAAAAAGTATTTATAAAACTGCTTTAGCATCTTACTATAATTTGACTAGACAGATGCTCTTTGTTGTTGACTCATAGTGGCCTTATCCACAGTGCTCAGTCCTGTGACATCCTCACAAATGTCAGCACAGCTGAGCACAATGCTGCTGCCACTGTGTCAATCCATCTCCTTGGGGGTAGTCTTCCTCTTTTTGCTGACCCTCCACTTTACCAAGCATGATGTCTTTCTCTAGGGACTGGACCCTCCAAATAACATATCTGAAGCATGAGAGATGAAGTCTTGCCAACCTGACTTCTAAGGAACATTCTAGCAGTACTTCTTCCAACACAGATTTGTTTGTTTTTCTGGGCATCCACAGTTCTTGTAATATATATACACTTCTCCAACACCATAATTCAAATGTTTTGCTCCTTCTCCAGTTTACTTATTCATTTGAGGTTACTGAAAATATGATGGCTTGGGTCAAATTCACCTTAGTTCTCAAACTGATCTATTTGCTCTTGAACACTTTAAAGAGGTCTTGTGCAGATTTGCCTAATGCAATGTTGTTTGATTTCTTGACTACTGTTTCCATGAGTGTTGATGTAGATCCAAGCACAATGAAGTCTCCAACAATTTCAATCTTTTCTCCATTTATCCTGGTATTTACGGGTCCAGTTGTGAGGATTTTCATTTTCTTTACATTGAGGTGCAATTCATACTGAAGGCTGTAGTCTTTCTAGCAAGAAAGGTTGTATCATCTGAATATCACAAGCTGTTAAGGAGTCTTCCTCCAATCCATGTTCTTCATATAAATCAGCTTCTCAGATTGAATGTTGTTGTTATGTGCTGTGGAGTCGGTCCCGACTCATAGCGACCCTATACAGGGTTTCTGAGGCTGTAAATCTTTACAGGAACAGAAAGCCTCATCTTTCTCCTGCGGAACAGCTGCTAGTTTCGAACTGCTGACCTTGAGATTAACAGCCTGATTCATAACCACTATGCTACCAGAGCTCCTTTCTCAGATTCAGTAAGTATGGTGAAAAAATACAACCCTGGCACACACCTTTCCTGATTTTAAACCATTTAGTCAAGTGGACTAAGACAAACAACACATAAGCAGTATTTCAACAGCTCCACATACACTGTTCTTATTGGGCAGTCTTTCTTACTCCAAGACCCAGATGGTCTTGAACAAGGTATTCTGTAGACTTCACTGATGATCTATTTGGGGATCCCTGGTGATACAGTATGTTAAGCATAGGGCTGCTAACTACAAACCCACCAACCACTCCAAGGGAGAATGATGAAGTTTGTCTGTTCCCATAAAGCTTTAGTTTTCGAAACCCTAAGGTAGCACTCGCGGAAGCAGCAGTCAAGAGATCAGACGAAGTATTGCACTGGGCAAATCTGATGCACAGGAACTTTTTAAAGTATTGAAGAGCAGAGATGTCAGCTTGAGGACTAAGGTGCGCCTGACCCAGGCCATGGTGTTTTCAATAGCCTCATATGGATGTGAAAGCTGGACAGTGAATAAGGAGGATCGTAGAAGAATTGATGCCTTTGAGTTGTGGTGTTGGAGGAGAATACTGAAAGTGCCATGGGCTGCCAAAAGAACCAATAGATCTGTTTTGGAAGAAGCGCAGCCAGAGTGCTCCTTGGAGGCCAGGATGGCTAAGCTTCGTCTCTCATACTTTGAACATATTATCTGGAGGAAACAGTCGCTGGAGAAGGATGTCATGCTGGGTAGGGTGGAGGGTCAGAGAAAAAGAGGAAGACCCCTAACGAGATGGTTGGCCAGGTGGCATCATTAATGGACTCAAGTGTGGCAGCGGTAGTGAGGTTGGCCCAGGATCGGACATTGTTTCGTTATGCTGTGCATGGGGTCGCTATGAGTCGGTTCCGACTCCATGGCACCTGACAACAACAACAAAGGTAGCTTAGCGGTTACTAATCGGGTTGCGTACCACAAGGTCAGCAGTTCAAAACTACCAGCTGTTCCGTGGGAGAAAGATGAGGCTTTCTACTCCTGTAAAGATTTGCACCCAAGATGAGGCTTTCTGCTCCCGTAAAGATTTACAGCCTCGGAAACCCTACGCAGGGTCACCAAGAGTCGGAACCGACTTCACGGTATATAACAACAACAACAAAGGAACAGTTCTGCTCTGCCATGTAAGATCATTATGATTCAGAATCAATTTGATGACAGTAGGTGGGTGGCAATAGTTAAGCGTTTGGCTGTTAACTATGAAGCTGTTAATAGTTTGAACCAACTAGTTGCTAAGGGAGAAACATGTGGCAGTCTGTTTCCTTGGAAACCCTGTGGGACAGTCCCTTTTATGTTTTATAGGGTCTTTATGAGTCAGAATTGTTTCCACAACAATAGGAATTTTTTGTTGTTAGTTTACAGTACAAAGGTGGTAGAGAAAACTAATATATACAAGAACTTAAAAATATATTATAGAAATTTTTAATATCATATACTCATACAGAGAAAACTATAATAAATCCCTAGATACTGATTGGAGACCTGTGTGGCGCTGTGGGTTAATGTGCTGAACTACAAAGTTGATTTGAACCCCCAAAGCACACTGACTGCTCTCGGAAACCCTATCTACATGGTCACTCAAGGTGGGAACCAACTGGACTGGCACTCAACAACACAGATTGAATAAATATGGTGAAAGATACAATATTGATTATCCAGCTTTAACAATTATCAAAACATTCCAATCATATTCCATTTACATCACTATAGTTTCCCAGTGAGCTATTTTGAAACAAATGCTAAACTTTCCACTTAATTCTAAAATGTAATTTTAACAGAACATGTGACAAGTGGCAAGGGGAAGCATAAAGAATGGGATTAGTAACTTTGTTAAGAATGTGAACAGTTAAGTGATATTTAAGGGAGTCTGGAGTTTGTTTGGCAGAAAAGAAAAAAAGAAAATTCCAGGAATAATGATGAAGAGTGCATGTAAAACGATTTCCTAAACAGAATGACTTTGTTTGAAAAGCATGTGAAGTTCAGTGTGACTGGGAATAGGATGAAGGGGAGATTAGGTTGAAGAGATGTGTGTGCCAAGGTTGGCATGGACTAGGGTGAAATACATGAGAGTAAGACCATAAGCTATGAGCTGCTTTTATACCTTGCTTTCAAACCTAACACATGTGACACAGGTGATTAATGCAGTTCAAGTTGATGGTAGCAAATAAATTTACATTGCAGTTTATTCTTGTTAAATTATATTGGCTCTTGCTAACACCAAAAATCTTGGGTCCGTTTGATTTACTAATTTGTTTTCTCCAATTTCCATCTTACAAATGGGTCATTTTTCTTTTTTTCTAGCTAGCTATGTAAACGCTTTGAGGAACCTGATACCATTTAAAACCGTTAGACGAATTACTTTCCAGTTACCTCTTTGTTGACACACACTCGTATTCTCTTTCCCCTCCCTGTCTATCACCTGATTTCCCTGTGCTCTTCCTTTATTCCATCAGTAGTTCCTTTAACAAGGAGCTCTGGTAGCGTTGTTGTTGTTAAGTGCCGTCGAGTCGGTTCCGACGGCACTTAACAACAACAAGAAGTTCCTTTAACATCTCTCAGCACTCTCTACACATAATACAATGTATATCTGCGTGAAGGTGGTAAATTTCCAAATTAACTTCATTGCTTTCTCGTTCTACTCAAGTATTCATAAAAGGTATGAACAAGAATGACACTTTAATAAGATTACAAAATTTAACTCATCTGGCCTTAGCAATGAACACTTGGGAGCAGCATGGATTAGGGTCTTTGCCTCCTATGCGTCTAATGGGGGCTTGTTCGTCATTCTTGTTCCCTGGCGCCAGCAATGAAAATAAAGACAGAAAAAAAGAAAATAGGGTCTTTTTTGCTTTCCAAAAATGAAGCAAACAGTGCTTAACATCTCAGGCGGTCTTCGCCAGTACCAACCCTGGGGGAAACCTCAGGTTAGGGATTCCTTTATGATAAAAAAAAAAAAGAAAAGTAGGGTCAGCCAATGGGCACTGATCACTCACTCGGGGCAGACACCAGGAGCAGCTCGGAAACGTCCGGGTACATGCGGTCTTCTAGCAATTGACGGTCGATGAGCCGTCCGGCATTTTCCAAAGCTTCCTGCAAAGCGGCGGCCGCCGTGGGAGCTGGCATGGCAGGGCCCAGCAGAGAAGACGGCATCTCTAAAATCAGAGACGCAGCGAACGCTGTTTTAGATGTCAAGGTCGTGAAAAACCTCGAAAAAGAGGAAAACACTGAAGCCCCTAGCTGAGAAACGCGGTTAAGGACGCGCGCGCCAAACGAGCGCTCCGGCGCCTCCGAGTGACGCAATTCCGGTTCATCTGGTGGGGAATTTGAAGTTTCCGTTTTGGAAAGGGGGAGGGGAGGAAGAAATCGGTTGAGTGGTCGGCCAGTTAGGGTGGAGAGAGAAGGCGGGAGGCTGTTTTAGAAGTGGCTGAGTGTTTGGGGTAGGGAAGGGAGACTCGAATTGAGGGGAAAAAAAGGAAAGGGGACAGATCTGGGGAGAAGAGGACCGGGGACGGTGGGGTGGATGGGGCAGGGAGGGAAGGAGGAGGGGACAGGGACCGGGTAGGCAGGAGACGGGTGGGTGTGGCGGGCGGCGGAGGCTGCTCTGGATCCGGAGTTTTAGCGCGCGCCAAGTGTTGGAATCTGGAATCTCGAAGAATGGAATCCAGCAACTGCATCATTTAAAAGTGCGCGTCTCCAAATTATTTTTAAGTGGAGTTAGGTGTTGTTAGAAACAGGTTACATGTGACTCAGAATTTTACTACATTCATCAATCATTTCTATTTGCGGATTGCTACCATTTGGAGTCCTTGGGTAGCGATGGGGATTAATGCTCTGGACTACAAGGTCGGTTTGACTCGCAAGGCGGTTCAAGCTCACCAGCCGCTCCTATACAGGGTCGCTATGGGTCAGAACCGAGTGAACGGCACTGAACAACAACAATAGGGTTTCCAAGGAGCAGCTGGTGGTGGTGGTTACTTATCCTACAGTGCCACTATTGTTCCTGTTCGGTGATGCATATGGTCTGTCTGCATGAAGCACCTTGAAGACTGGGAATCATTTGTCAATTTGGTATCCCTAGCATCAGACACAATGCCTAATACAAAGTAAACTCAGTTTTTGGTGGACTAGATGATCTGTATCTATGTATTGGGGTGAAAACATGAATTTAGAACCCACCTGGAGTCCTAGTGTGGTTTCACACCCACAAGCTGCTCCTTGGTCGCTTTGAGTCAGCATTTATCAAAAACACTACAATGCCCTTAATTTCATCACAGTCTTAATCCTATGTAAGGGAGTTTCCCAGAGGTGTGGCATGCACACCTTTTATAAGAGATAAAGGAGAGAGAAAGGAACTGAAAAGACACCTCTACCACCAAGAAAGCGCCACGAGCAGAGGGCATCCCATGGACCTTGGATACCTGTAATATAGAGCTCTTAAGGAGCTCTGGTAGCGTAGTGGCTGCGAACCTTAAGGTCAGCGGTTCGAAACTACTAGCCGCTCCGCGGGAGAAAGATGAGGCTTTCTACTCCCGTAAAGATTTACACCCTCGGAAACTCTGTACAGGGTCGCTATGGGTCGGAACCGACTCGAAGGCACTTAACAACAACAACAACAACAGAGACTGGGAAGATTGATGCTATTTCAAATTGAAAACTGATAACCGATCAGACAAATTTTACAATAGGGAGTTTAAACTAAAAAAAAAAAAGATGATCTAGCCATGTTTTACGTGGTCGAATTGATTCTGATAAGAGAACTTCCACTTAGGGTTTCATAAACAGTGGCTCTGTTTGGGAAACCTTAAACAGAACACTGAGCTCAGAACCACAAGGTCCACAGATTTTAGCCTACCAGCTGATGATGAGGCTTTCAGCACTGCAAAAATGTTGTTGTTGTTAGGTGCCATTGAGTCGGTACCAACCCACAGCCACCTTATACACAGCAGAACAAAACACTGCCCAATCCTGGGCCAATAATGTACAGCCTCCAAAACCTGCCTGGTCCTGTGCCATCCTCAAGTGAAATGTTTGTTACCCTTGAGCCCATTGCGCCAACACTGTGCCAATCCATCTTGTTTGGGGGTCTTTCTCTTTTTTGCTGACCCTCCACTTTACTAAGTATGATGTCTTACTCCAGGGACTGGACCCTCCTGAAAGCATGTCCAAAGTAAGAGAGACAAAGTCTCTCCATACTGGCGTCTCGGGAGCATTCTGGCTGCACTTCTTCCAACACAGATTTGTTTGTTTGTCTTACAGGACATGATTCTTTCAATGTTCTCCAACACCATAACTCAAATGCAGCAATTTTCTGGTCTTCCTTATTAATTAATTGTCCAACTTTCACATGCATATGAAGCAATTGAAAATACCAGCCACTCTGTGGAAGAAAGATGTGATTTCCTGCTCCTGCAAAGAGGGATAGCCTCAGAAACTGTTATTGTGGGGGGTTTTTGTTTTTAGATGCCATAGAGTTGGTACTGACTCATAGCAACCTTATGGACAGCAGAACGAAACACAGCCCCATCCTAAGCCAACCTCACTACTGTTGCCACACTTGAGCCCATTGATGCTGCCACTTAGCCAATCCATCTCACTGGAGGTCTTCCTCTTTTTCTCTGACCCTCCACCTTACCAAACATGATATCCTTTTCCAGCGACTGGTCCCTCCTGACAATATGTCCAAAGTATGAGAGACAAAGTTTGGCCATCCTGGCCTCCAAGGAGCACTCTGGATGCACTTCTTCCAAAATGGATCTATTGGTTCTTTTGGCAGCCCATGGCATTTTCAATATTCTCCTCCAACACCGTAACTCAAAAGCATCGATTCTTCTACGGTCTTCCTTATTCACTGTCCAGCTTTCTCATGCATAAGAGGTTATTGAAAATACCATGACTTGGGTCAGGTGCACCTTAGTCCTCAAGCTCACATCTTTGCTCTTCAACACTTTAAAAAGCTCTTGTGCAGCAGATTTGCCTAATGCAATACATGGTTCGATGACAGCTGCTTCCATGAGTACTGATAGTTGATCCAAGAAGAATGAAGTCCTTGACAACTTCAATCTTTTCTCCATTGATAAGAATGTTGTTTATTGGTCCAGTGGTGAGGCTTTTTCTTTTCTTTACATTGAGATGCAATCAATACCGAATGAAGGCTGTGCTCTTTGATCTTCATCAGTAAATATTTTAATTCCTCTTCACTTTCAGCAAGCAAGGTTGTATCATCTGCATATCGCAGGTTGTTAAGGAGTCTTCTTCCATTCCTGATGCCATGTTTTCTTCATATAACCCAGCTTCTCGGATGATCTGCTCAGCACACAGGTTGAATAGCTATGGTGAAAGAGTACAACCCTGTTACACACCTTTCTTTCTTTCTTTTTTTTTAAGGTTTTTATTGTGGATTCAATGGAAGTTTACAGGACAGATCATCAGTTTTACATTCAACAAATCATACACCTTGTTTCATTACAATGAATGAAATCCCATCCATGTACCATCAGTTATCAGTATTTCTCTCTATCCACTTTAGCTTTTAAAAACAACAACAACAACACTCAGGCATATATAATAATTTACACCTCCAAAGGGCACATTCCGCAAGTCTGCCTCCAGTCTGAATCTAGAGTCCTCAGCCGCTCCCCGTTTCCATGCCCCCATCTCTGGCATTGCTGCTTCTCTGTATAAGGTCCCATATTCTGCTTCTGCTCTTTTCCCACTAGGGTCCTCTGTTTCTGGACTGTAAGGTTAACCAGTACCCTTTTTTTTATAACAAAACTTCTACCTTTGCAACTGTGACAGTCGCAATTAGTCATGATAACAATTATTCACTATTGAATCAAATGAATCTTATCCCCATCTTTTTTCATCAGACACATCTAGACAAGATGAAATCTATTCAGGGGGAACTCTTTCTTTCCCCCCATATTCTTAAACTAAACTGCCTCTTGAAACTTTGTAAGCCAGTCACTTTGTGCCTTTATCATCCCCTCATTTTAGGTAGCCAATGTCTAAGTTGTCCATCCCTATCTACCCTGTGTACAGTGGAGATAGCACTTTAAAGAGATCTTGTGCAGCAAGTTTTCCTAATGCCGTATATTGTTTGATTTCTTGATCTCTTCTTTCATAAGTGTTGATTGTGGATCCAAGCAAAATGAAGTCTTTGACAAATTCAGTCTTTTCTCCCTGTATCGTGATGTTATTTATTGGTCTAGTTGTGAGGATTTTTGTTTTCTTTGAGGTGCATTCCAGACTGAACTGTGAATACCTTTCATCTTCTGTTGATGCTTACTGTATCATCCAAAGGCTATGGACATTGATCTTCATCAGTAAGTATTTTAAGTCCTCACTTTTAGTAAGTGAGGTTGTAGCATCTGCATATCAAAGGTTGTTAATGAATCTCCTTCCAATCCTGATCCCACATTCTTCATATAATCCAGTTTCTTGGATTATTTGCTCAGCATACAGACTGAATAGGTATGGTGAAAAAATACAACCCTGGCACAAACCCTTCCTAATTTTAAAAGATTCATTATCCCCTTGTTCTGTTTGAATGAACATAGTCAAGTGTTCTGGAATATGCCTTTGCATAATCAATAAAGCATAAGTAAACATCTTTCTGGTATTGTCTGCTTTTAGCCAACATTCATCTGAAATATTATTTGATGATTTCTGCATTCTGCTGGGTCACCTCTCTTTAGAATGAGCACATAGCATATATGGGTCTCTTCCAGTCAGTTGTCCAGGTAGCTGTCTTCCAATTTTTTTGGCATAGATGAATGAGTGCCTCCAGCGCTTCATCAG